GGGCGCGGGCTGCGCCTGCGGGTGGTGGTGCGAGTGCTTCAGCTCCTCGCCGGGGAAGAGCGCCGCGTCGCGGGCCGGGTTCGCGGCGCCCAGCACGGGCTTGAGCTGCGCGAACACGGGCTCGTCCTGCGGGGCCGGCGGCTGGGGCACGGGTCCCAGGCGGGCGCTCATTGTCAGCACCCGCGTGGCCATTGGCACTCAGGGGGCGGCTCCGGGCGCGGGACGCGGGTCGGGCGCGCTTCCCACCTCGCCCACGCTGATTCGGGCCGGCGAGCTCGGCGCGGGGCCGCGGGCGGAGAAGGGAAGGCTCCGGACGGACCCCCTCAGCCAACAGCAGGCGCGGTTTTCGAAGGCGCGCACGAAAAGCAAAACTCTTCCGCTCCGCCACGCGTAAACGCCAACGTCCTCCGGGCGGCCACTTTCCCCCGCCCCGCCCCACCGCGCTCTCTCACTCGCCGGAGCCCGCTCCCGCCACCACCGCTCTCCACGACCGAGCTGCGAGCGCGCGTACCTGCCCCGCGACTACTGACACTTGACGCCCGCCTCTATTTTACCCAACTCCGGGTGGGCGGGCCCGCCAACCTGACTGGCAGCGCTAGGGCGAATCCCGAAGCCCTGAGGCCGGCCTGGCCGGAGTGAGCAGCCTATGAGAAGGGAGAAGTTCTCCCAGGCCCCGCCTTCGCCGGGCTGACCCGCCCTCTCGGGCCACGAGCTTTCGCGCGCAGGGCGGCCGCGCAGTTTGTACACAACTTCTCTGACAGATTGGGCTGACGGAGCCGGGGGCGGAGGAAAGGAGAGAAGCGGGTGGAATCTAGGAAGAGAGGGAATTAGGGTGGAGACGTGGAGGGAGATCTCTTCGGACTGTTCTTCGCCAGGATTAGGGAGAAAAAGAGTTTTGCACGTCTTAGGTGTTGTGCAAGGACCTGAAACTCAAAAGCTGAAACCCAGAAGGCAGCTAGGTGGGGGCGCCAAGGATTTTAGAGACTTGTTTCATGAGTGTATGTTTTTAAATACACAAAATGTACTTTTCTTTAGCGGAAAACTAGGGGCGGTGTGATAAACAAATTTAAAAACAGCTCTTGTGTCTGTGTATCTTTAGCAGTGAACATGTCCATTTAGCAAAGCAAATCCGGAATGTCCTGAATAAAAGGTTTAATGGCAAAAATTATTTGAAGTCCTTGCATAAAAGCTTGTTTTTCCCTACAGTATTTAAATGGTTAGAAGAAGTTTTCACACACATTTCTACCTCGTATCCGTGTATGGAGAGGAGGGGGATGGGCCATACGAATTTTGAAGGTTTTAATATTTACACTTTTGATTGTAGCTGAAGCATGGAATCTAATTTAAGCACTAACGACTGATTAGTTCCAATGTATTTACATAGAGATTATATCTTTGACTTGTTTTTGCTAGCATTGTATGTTCAAAAAAAATGGAGTTTAATATTTACAAAACAGACAACGTAGCACATTTACCTAACACTATGGCACCTTTTCCTACGAAAAGACAATCAAAGAAGCCACAAACACTAGACGCGCAGCAGCTCTGAAAACTGGGAATCCAAATTTGTAGGAAAGTAATAGTCAAATATATGACCATCCATTAACTACATTATAATGGGAAGGTGAAGTTTTGCCAGCAATCACCTAAGGAAACCACTTCTCTAATCCTTAATGTTCTTGTATATGATTTTATCTGGCTTATTGAGAAGCCGGAACAATAAACTGCAATAAAAATGCCTGGTATATTACTACATATGTAGCACACTATACTATTAGACAATTTTACATATACAATAGCCTACTCATCACTTCACAGTAAAACAGCTTAAAAAAAAAACAAGCTCTTAGAAGAATGTTCACTTCAAAGAGGTGGACCTATTAAAAGTATGGATCTCATTTCAGTGTGTAGATTAAAAAAATAATATACATATGAAATATTAGAGGTATTTATTATTAGAAAACAAAATTATGCTATAAAATTTTTTTCTCCTTTTCATTTCCTTTTTGTTAATAAATGATTCATCTTTATAGCTGTGATCACTTCTTTCAGAGAATGGTTGATGACTACTTTCATGTTACCTAAGTAGTATTTAATAAGTGTTTTTGCAAATTTTTTTCTAAGCAATTCCATAGTATCCACCGCCACCTTTTAAAAAGCTGTCCTGATTTTCTCTAAGATTGAACCCAAGGATGTAATTAAATAACTTAAAAACAGATTATAGAATTGGTATGGGATTTAATTACCTTTTAAAAAATTGAACTTTGACAGATTTTTAGTTATAATGCTGAAAACATGATCAAACCTGAGTGTGATATAAAGTCTTAACAGAAGTTTTATATTCTTTTTAACTTAGGTTTAATATAATTTAGTATCTATTTATATTTTAATTTGCCTCTCAGCCCATCTAGACCTTTTCTTTTGTCTTTGTTTTATCAGAGCATCAGTGGCCTGTTATTGCAACCTGTTTTCACTACAATAAAATCCAGTTATTTTACTGGAAATGTTTCTATATTTCACACCATTTTTTTAACATGCTTTCATTTACAAATGCTTTCCGAATAGCTAAACAAAATAAAACCCAAC